TTCAGTGGCCGGGAGCAGCCACTGCACTCCAGTTTGGGCGACAGAGTGAGACTCCAACTCAAAAAAAAAAAAAAAAAGTGAGCAAAGGACATGAATAGACACATGAAAAAATGCTTAGCCTCACTAATCATCAGAAAAATACAAATCAAACTACAATGAGATACCACCTAACTTCAGTAACAATGTCTATTATTAATAAGTCAAAAAACAGCAGATACTGGCATAGGCATGGAGAAAAGGGAATACTTTTACACTGTTGGTAGATATACACACTAGTTCAACCTCTATGGAAAGCAGTGCAGCAATTCCTAAAAGAACTAAAATTTGAGCTTCCCTATGATCCAGCAGTCCCTCTCCTGAGAATAGACCCAGAGGAACATACAGCATTCTACAAGTAAGACATCTGCACATACATGTTTATTGTTGCCCTATTCACAGAAGCAAAAGTATGGAACCAGCCCTACTCCCCATCAAAAGTAGACTGGATAAATAAAGTGTGGTACACATACACAATGGAGTATTACACAACCATAAAGAAGAACAAAATCATGGACTTTGTAGCAAATTGAATAGAGTCAGAGACCACTATACTAAATGAACTATCACAGAAACAAAGATCTGAATATCTCATGTATTATAATAACTCATAAGTGGGCCTTGAACATTAGTCACACTAGAACAAAGGAGGGATTGGCATTCACTAGGCACTGCTAGGGGAGGAAGGGAAGGAGGAGGAAGGGGAACATGTGCCAATACCAAGGATACTTGTTTCTTTACCAGGGGGAGTGAGGGCCAATTAGAAGCCCAAACTTCACCTGCATGCAGCCTACTTATGTAGTTAATCCTCACTTGTACTCTACATTCCTATATCACAATAAAATTGTTTTAAAACTATTACAAAAAAGTAATATACCGATTAAACATAATCCCTGTCAAACTACCAATGTCATTTTTCACAGAATTAGTGAAAAACAATCCTAAAATTCATATGGAACCAAAAAAGAGCCAGAATAACCAAAGCAAAAAGAACAAAGCTGGAGGCATCACATTACCTGACTTCAAATTATAGTACAATTCGGGGGGGGCCAGCCCCCGCAAAGAGATTTAGGAGGTCCCTTGGAAGGTGTGGTGGCGTTGGCGATTCTGTAGGAATAGATATTAAAAGAAAGAAAGAGACTGTGGGAGAAAGAAAGAAACTGAACTCTGTCTAGTGCAGAAGCCGTTTAATGGGATGAACCATAATCCTGTTATCCCAAATTTTCATAGGTTAAATCACAAGACTTTCACGTGAACACAAAGCCAGGTGGATGAGGGGCGTTCCCCACTCACCAGGTGTTTCCTCAGGCATGAGGAAGGACAATCCCAATCAAATCATAAGACATTTACATGAACACAAAGCCAGGTGGGTGAGGGGCATCCCTCACCCACTGGGTGTTTCCTCAAGCATGAGGAAGGGCAATCCCAAAATTATCTCACTGTTCCTCATTTTTGGTTAATATTCCTCAAAAGCAATACAACAATTTCTAACATCATAATATTCCAATGATCAATAACTTTTAAAACTTATGCATACACAGCACCTAATAACCAACCTAAATCCCAATTCCTCTCTATTTTATGCTAATTCTACCTACACTATAGAAACTCTTAATTATAGCCCAAACCAATTCCTAAGGAATGTGGCCCAGTCAAAAGATCACGCTGGGCCGTTTCTGGGAACAATAGATTACAATCTCTTAACAAAATGGCTATTCCGAAATCCTATAAATCTATTTTAACTTTTATAAAAGTTTCTAATTCCTAATCCTGATCATCAACAATAAAGCTTCTAAAAACCCAAATATAAACTGTAAATTGTATTAAAGCCAAAACTACAAATGTAGAAATTGAAACAATGTAATTTCTAAAGTTAGCTGTATTCTTATTAAACCTCAAAATATCATGTTTGATCATGCTTGAACTGACATAATTCACTGACATAGCACAACCTATTCTTTCTATGATTAAAATAAATTCAATTTCTATAGTAAGTAGAAAAAATCCTATACTAACTGTAGCTAAAAACCGGTTTAAAAGAAAGCATCCTAGTTCAAAGGACGCGCTGGGCCCCTGGGAATGTGGCCCAGCCCAAGGTTCGTGCTGGGCCATTAGGAATGTGGCCCAGCCCAAAGTTCATGCTGGGCCATTTCTAGTAACTCTAGATATTTATCTATATTATTAAGGTTGAAACAGCACTTTGTATGTATATACTAATTCTACAAATATACTTTTAAATCTTATAAAGAAGCTTGTATCGTATATAAGGCTCCCAAATGTGACCTGAGTTTGAATTACGTTGTTTAAAGCCGAAACCACAGTCTGTGAGAAACGGAAACAATGGACTCCTAAAGTAAGCCATGCCTGTCATACTCTCAGAACTTCATGCTTAGATCATCAAAGTCCCTGCTAGTGGTTCCACTTTGCCAAACAGCAAAGAATGGAAGAGGGAATGGGCCTTCAGCTCCTGAACTCATCCTAGTGGTCTCAGGGTCCACAGCCTGCCTGGATCCCTAACACTCAGGCGGGCCTCCACGGCCAGCTCCCAACAGTACAAGGCTATAGTAACCAAAACAGCATGGTACTAGTACAAAAGCAGACACATGGACCAATGGAATAGAATAAAGAATCCAGAAATGAACTCAAATACCTATAACCAACTGATCTTTGACAAAGCAGTCAGAAACAGACACTGGGAAAAGGACACCCTGTTCAACAAATGGTGCTGGGAAAATTGGATTGCTACATGCAGAAAAATGAAATTTGATCCCTATTTCTCCCCTATACAAAAACTAACTCAAGATGGATTAAAGACTTAAATGTCAGATATAAAACCATAGCAATCCTAAAAGAAATCCTAGGGAAAATTCTTCTGGACACTGGCCTAGGCAAAGAATGTATGGCTAAGACCCCAAAAGCAAATGCAACAAAAACAAAAATAAACAAGTGGGACTTAATTAAACTAAAAAGTTCTTCTCAGCAAAAGAAATTATCAACAGAGCAAATAGGCAACCTACAAAATGGCAGAAGTTATTCACAAAATATATATCTGATAAAGGACTAACATCCAGAATCTACAAAAAACTCAAACAAATTAGCAAGGATAAAAGCAAACAACCCTCATTAAAAAGTGAGCAAACATCTGAACAGACATCTTTCAAAAGAAGATATACAAATGACCAACAAACCTATAAAAAAAAGTTCAACATCACTCATTGTCAGAGAAATGCAAGTAAAAACCACAATGAGATACCTACCACCAGTCAGAGTAGCCATTATTAAAAATTCAAAAGACAATAGATGCTGGTGTAAATATGGAGAAAGGGGAATGTTTATACACTGTTGTGGGAGTATAAATTAATACAGTATCTATGAAAAGTGATGTGGCGATTTCTCAAACAGCTAGAAGTAGATCTACCATTTGATCTAGCGATCCCACTACAAGGTATCTACCCAACGATACTGAGGCCATTATATATAAAAGACACCTGCACCAGCATGTTCATTGCAGCACAATTCACAATTGCAAAGATTTGGAATCAGCCTCAAGGTCCATCAGCTAAAAAGTGGATAATGAAAATGTGGTATATATACACTTTGGAATACTTACTATTCAGCTATCAAAGAGAAAGAAATAATGTCTTTTGTAGCAATTTGGATGGAATTGGAGAATATCATCCTAAGTTAATTAACTCAGGAACAAACAACCGAACACCACATGTTCTCACTTAGTGGGAGCTAAACTAAGAATCTGCAAAGGCATAGAGAATGATATAATGGACAATGACGACTCAGAAGGAGGAGTGGGGAAGGAGTATGGGGACCAAAAAAATCACCTATTGGATACAATGCACAGGCGGTGGTGGTGGATACACTTAAAGCCCAGACTTCTTCTCTACCATACAATGCTACTATGTAGCCAAAAACTATATGTATTGCCTAACGCTATTGAAATAAGGAATACATACATATATACATACATACGTTTTCTAATGAGTAAAAAATAAAAATTATATCATAATAAAATACTTGAGGAAACGAAAGTGTTTAGCCCATAAAATATTGGAGTTCATAATTGAAATATAAGAGCTGCCTTAAATATTTGAAGAGGGTAGAATTATTATCTGTGTTTTCTAGAGAAGTATTTTTTTCAAAAGATAGGTTACAATCTATTGGTGGGTTGAGAAATGCATTCTATTTTCATGATCAGCTTCATTTGCTTAATGAAATAGAATACAATACAAAATATCAGAGTACATCACATGAAATAAAGGTACGCTTGTTATTTTCTAGAAATTTTAATAGTCTATATGTTTAGTGGGTCACAGTGTAAATATATTCTTTTTCATGGAATGGTTATTTATTATATGCCTGTAATAAAAATAGAATCCACAAACACTAAAATAATATAAGGACGAGATGAGAGAGTGGGAAGTGGGGCATATGCGCTATTAATCAAATGTATTAGAAATATACCATCTTCATTTAGGAGTTCATTTTCAACACAAAACCAACAATACAGAAGTAGTAAAATCTCTTACATAAAGAGTACAGAATGAGGAAACAGCCATTTAATATTACAATAGTTCTTACTTAAATTTACTTTTTGTTTGCCTTTAGGATGCGTATTAGATGATGAGGAAATTGTTGATACCTTAAGAAAATCTAAAATGATATCAAATGAAATTTTAAAGCGCATCGAAGCAACAACAAAATCTGAAAGTGAAAACCAAGCAAAACGTGAAAACTATCTCCCAATTGCTACCAGAGGCACCCTGCTTTACTTTCTTGTGGCTGATCTTACACAAATCAACTACATGTACCAGTTCTCCCTAGACTGGTTTCGTCAGGTTTTTGTTTCATCAGTAATTTCCAAAAGCAAAGAACAAGAACATAGTTTGAAAAGGGAGAAAACATCTTTTAAAAAAGTTCGTAAGAGTAAAAATATCTCAAAGGAAAGTGAGAAAAATTCCTCAGACAGGCATGTAAAAAATGTAATAGATGTATTGACAAGAAATATTTTTAAGGTGAGACACTCTTTAATGTGAATTTTGCATACTTATTTAATCTAGCTGGGTTACTATAACAGTTATATTTTCCCTGTAGGTGGTTTCTTCAGCTCTATTTAATCAAGATAAACTTTGCTTCTCTTTTCGGCTTTGCACTGCAATCATGCAAAATAATACTAGTGGAAATCTAATACAGGATGACATTGGATCCTTACCTGAAGAAGAATGGAACATCTTTTTATATTCTGGCATATTGATAAATATTAAAAGTGTATTACCCCAACCTAAACTTAATGGTAAGTAAAAGTGATTACTCTGGATCTAGTAAAAATCTATTAAAAACATGTTTAGTAAAATACTAAAAGACCTTAATGTGCTCCAAGTCAATACTTCTACAATTGATTCAAGTGAAAGCAACCTGAGGTCAAGCACAATGTCTGATTCATTTATTGTATCTCCTACACTGCTGAACACATAATTGATACTCAAAAATTTCTAAACAGATGAATTAATAAATGACAGCTACTATAGTTATTGTATTCCTAATCTACAAAGTAGAATATCTGATGACGGCAAGCAGGAATGCAAACACACACAAACATTAGTTAAGTACCTTCAGGAGTTAAATCTTACCCTTCCTAACTACAGTTGCCCTCACTTTCTTATGAAAACCCCTTGAAAATTTGAACCACAAACATATGCTTATCAAAAAGTTTTGATAAAATGATTTAATTATTGAATTTTTTTAATGCTCTTGTATATTTTTCATAATATTAATTTTCTAAATTATGGTCAAATACTCATAAGATAGAACTTAGCATCTTAATCAATTTTAAGTATACATTTAAGTGGCATTAAATACATTCACATTGTTGTGCTGTGTTGTGCATTTTAATTCTCAGAAATGTAAAATCTAAAGGAAATCTGACATTCACACTAAGGGAGAAAAAGTGGTGGTTTGGATTAGGCTTTGTCAAGTGTGTGAAGACTATTAGCAAAGACTAGAGGTCAGAATGAAAACACAAAAAGAATTGCTATGAAATATACCAGAAATAGGGACAGTTCTATTTTGTTTTGGTTTTTGCTTATTTTTGCTTGTACAAATCATGATATCCAGTGAATGTTTGATAAGTGACTGTTGTACCAATAAATGATATTATGGATTTATTAAGATTATTTTGCTTATGAAAGACAGAAGACAATAACTCAATAGCCTAAACAAAAAAAATTGTAAATATTTGAAGGATTCTGGGGTATATTAGAAAAACCCGAGGAACATGTAAATACCAAGCACCCATATGAGTAGAACCAGTGACTACGATTAGCATAACTCAGCTTAAAACAGTTTTCAGATGCTGTGTTTCTAAGTTTTAGATTCTATATTCCCAGAAGGTTGAATCTGAGTGTCACACTCCTGAACCAGTAACCTATTACCAAAAGGCCGTGTCATGCAGCCAAAAACAAGCATGCAACCAATTCAAGAGGTTTATACTGCACTTGACATCATTAAAGCATTCCCAATGTACTTCAAGAAATGAAATAAAATTTAATGTCTTTCATTATAATTTTATAATTATAAAAGCAACATGAGCTTATTTTTTTAAAAACTGTTAGAACTTGTAGATAAGAAAAAAAAAAAATAAGCTGGGCTTGGTGACTCAGCCTGTAATCCCACGCCTTTGGGAGGCTGAGGTGAGCGGATTGCCTGAGCCCGTGGCTTCGAGACCCGCCTGGGCAACTTGGTGAGACCTCATCTCTACAATAAATCAAAAAATTAGCCAGGCATGGTAGCGCGCGCCTGTAGTTCCAGCTACTCCAAAGGCTGAAGCGGAAGGATCGCAGGAGCGCGGCAGGTCGAGGCTGCGGTGGCCGGGAGCGGTCACTGCACTCCAATCTGGGCAACTGAGTGAGACTCCAACTCAAAAAAAAAAAAAAAGAAAAAAGAAAAATTTTCTGTAATTCTGCCATTTATAGAGAATATCACTATTAATATTTTTGTGTATTTTCTGTCTACAAGTTTTTCAACATATGTATTTGCATATGCATTCTTTTTTAGGGTGAATTTGCTATACAGATGTATGTCTGCTTTTTTCAAATTAACATATCATAAATAATTTCCTATGTCAATATAATTTGATTCTATTTAATGTTTGCATAACATTCCAGTCTTTGGATCTGCTAAAATGTATTTAACTGCTGTCTTAAGCTAGACACTTAATTTGTTCCCAGTTTTTTCTTATACTGAACCTTAAGCACTATGATGAACTACAAAGAAAGAGTGTTAATCCATACCAAGATTCCAGTCTTAATAAAATGTTACAATTTTTAAAACTTAATTTTTTTAAAAATTACTTTTTTGAGAAGAAGAGTGATTTCAGCAAGATGGCAGACTAGGAAAGTATAGAACTCCCACTCTACACAAAGACACTGAGTTTACAATAATATACCTCTTGTGAGAACACTAGAAACCAGTTGAAAAGTTACGGCATCCAGGATATTGTAAAACCAAGAAGACATTCCAGTGAAAGGGCTAGAAAATGTTGTGTTATTTGACACATGCCTATTCATGCCCCTCTTATTTTGTGGCACAGTGTAGAGCAACTAGGAGGAACCCCTCCCCACCCCTGTATCCAAACCTCTCCTTTAGATAGAAACAGAAGAGTGGGCAGTGCATTCTATGTTCTGACTTGTCTGGGGCCTCCCGAGGGACTGTTTTTTTGTCTCACCTGACCCAGAATATTGACAAGACTGGCACCAGAGTTTGGAAACCACTAAAAATAGAGGCAAATGGTACATTAGAGCTGCAGTTGCACAGGCATAAAAAAGGAGAAGCAAGGGATCAGAAAATGTTTAAGAGATTCTAGAACCCTCCAGCTAGGCTAATTGATGAGGGTCTACTCCTACACAAAGTCAATACCAAAGACTGGGAGAGGCGGTTGTTTTCTCAAAAACCCAAGCACAGAAAAAAAATTATAAGGCATACAAAGAAACAGGAAAACATGGCTGAACCAAAGGACTCAAGCAAAACTCCAGAAACCAATCCCAAAGAAATGCAGATCTGTAAGCTGCCTGACAAAGAATGTAAAATAACTGTCAAAAAGATGTTCAATGAGCTATAAATAAATAAATAACACAGAACTAAATTAAATCAGGAAAATGATTCATGAACAGAATGAGCATAGCAGCAAGGATGTAAAAACTATTTGAAAGAATGAGCCGGACTCCGTGGCTCAGTCTGTAATCCCAGTGCTTTGGGAGGCTGAGGTGAATGGATTGCCTCGAACCCACGGGTTTGAGACCCACCTGGGCAACTTGGCGAGACCTCATTTCTACAATAAAATCAAAAATTAGCTGGGCGTGGTAGCGCACGCCTATAGTTCCAGCTACTTAGAAGGCTGAGGCAGAAGGATAGCCTGAGCCCAACAGGTGGAGGCTGCGGTGGCCAGGAGCGTGCCACTGCACTCCAGACTGGGTGACAGAGACTCCAACTCAAACAAATAAAAAAGAATGAATGAATGAATCGGAAATTCTGGAGCTGGAAAATATGATAACTAAACTGAAAAATTATTAGAGAGCTTCAACAGCAGACTTAATCAGTCAGAGAAAGACTCAGTAAACTTGAAGACAGATCATTTGAAATCATTGAGTCAGAGGAGCAAAAGGAAAAATTATGGGATACTATTAAGAGGACCAACATATGAAATATGAAACTCTCAGAAGAAGAAAAAAGAATAGAAATAATGGTCCAAAACTTTCCAAATCTGAGGAAAGAAATGGACCTATGAGCTTAAGAAGCTCAAAAGAGTCCACTAGGATATATCTAAAAAGAAACACAACAAGACACCTGATAATCAAACTGCCTAAAGTCAAAGACAAAGACAGAATCTTGAAAGCAGTGAAAGAAAAATAATTTGTAAATACATGAGAGCTTCTATATGCTTACCAGTGATTTGTCAGCAGAAGCTTTAAAGGCTAAAGGGAATGGGATAATATATTCAAAGGACTGAGAGGGAAAAAAAACTATCAACCAAGTAATAACTGTCCTTTATAAATAGAGGCCAGGCGCAGTATAATCCCAGGCTGAGGTGAGAGGACTGCCTGAGCCTATGGGTTAGAGACCAGCCTGGGCTATTTGGTGGGACCTCATCTCTACAATAAATCAAAAAATTAGCCAGGCATGGTGGCACATTCCTGTATTTCCAGCTACTTGGAAGGCTGAGACGGAAGGATCACCTGAGCCCAGCAGGTCGAGGCTGCAGTGGCCGTGAGCGTGCTACTGCACACCAGCTTGGGCGACAGAGTGAGACTACAACTTTAAATAAATAAATAAATAAATAAATAAATGTAAAATTGAGATTTCTTATATAAACACAAATTGAGGGAATTCATTACCACTAGAACTACTCTACAAGAAATACTAAAGAAACTACTTCAAGTTGAAATGAAATGATGGTACACTGCAACATGAAACCATATAAAAATATAAGGTTTCTAGTAAAGGTAAATACATGGAAAGTTATAGTACCCTGTACTGTTGTAATTTTGTAAACGTAACTTAAATGACAAAAACATTTTTCTAAAAAATCTATAATTGTGTGTATACATAATGTGGGTATACAATATATAAAGATACAATCTGTCACATCAATAACATAAAATGTGTAAGATAGAGCTCTAAATGAATAGAATTTTTGTATGTGACTAAAGTCACTATTAGTTTAGAATAGAATGCTATAAGATTAAGATGTTTTATTTCATTGCAATGGTAACCACAAAGGTATATATAAAATATACACAAAAGGAAATGAGAAGGAAATTAAAGCATGTTGCTAACAAAAAAATCAATAAAATACCCAAAAAAGGCAATAAAAAAGGACAGGGAGGGAGAAAGCAACAAGACGTACAGAAAACATCAAAGTGGCAATAGTAACTTCTTCCCTATGAGTAACTATTTTAAGATAATTTTTTTTTTTTCGGAGTTGGAGTCTCACTCTGTCACCCAGACTGGAGTGCAGTAGCCACTCCCAGCCACTGCAGCCTCCACCTGCTGGGCTCTGGCGATCCTTCCACTCAGCCTTCCAAGTAGCTGGAACTACAGGCATGCGCTACCACGCCCGG